TGCTATCTTGATACTAAAATTTGGCCTGATAAGAGTAGGAAAAGGCTGTTCCACTTATTAGCTCCCTGATTGGGTATTGAAAAAAATTGGAACAGCTAAAGCATACGAGAGTTATTTTGGATCTGAAGCTTCAACTTCATCATCCAAGCTCAGTTTATCCTGTGCATCTTGTTAGGCAGACTTCAGTAAAGATGAGGACATGATTCTATAGTGTAAGTTATATCAATTGCTATGTAATTTGTGACTCTTTCCACTTGGATGTTTTTTTCCAGATGTTTTCCACCCAAATTTAGATGTTTTTAAATATTTTTTGACTCCGTTTTGGATTTTTATTGTCAAAGAAAAGTGGCAACACTACCTCTCTCTCCCCTTCACCACGGTACAGTTTCCTAGTTTTTTTTCTAGTCCATCTATTTAAGCTGTCATCATATTTAAACAACTAATTGTCTGTCTTTTACGCACCTGTCTCTATCTCCCAACTCCTCTTGGTATAGAGAAATTTGGGTGGGTAGCTTTCAAAAACCATATATATATATTCACACACATACACATATTATCATCATCATCATCATCATCATCTTCATCAATCAGAAGGTCCGTTACACAACGTCGCTTTTGTCAAGAATCGCCTGAAAGTCTTTCTTTCTTAAGCCTATTCTTCAGCCCAATGTGCTTACACAGCAATGTATCGTCAGTGACTTATATCCGCCTCGCGGTGGTCTTCTTCTGTCTTTTTTTTTCTAGCAACGGTAACACCCCCTCCCCCCCCTTCCCCTCTCCCTCCCCACCCAGTCACAATTATCTCCAGACCACCATAATATTTTACAAATGTGTTGCGTGTGCATCCGTTTTACTGATCTGACACATTTGAATGCAGACTGTTGGTTCCTTGCCTCTCAGGCAGATGCACTCCGACTTTAAAGAAAGCTCCCAATTAATATGCACTCCGACATGATTTGGGTAGGCAGTGGGTCTATTCTTGTTTTTCCTATAACAGGGCCCCGGAACCCACACGGAGCCTTACAATATATAACCTTTATCAATGAAGTACAAATTCAAAAAGAGTCTAACACAACTGCCTGTTTTACTAGGATAGCCGGCAGTGCCAGAATCATCTCCTTGTGTTAACAAAGTTCAGTGTCTGACTGTTGTTGAATTTGTGCTTAGTTATAAAGGATTCGCTGATATGCTTCATTTATGCAATTGTTACTTTGGTATACACCTGGCGAGATACAGCGAAATATGCCAGGCAATAAAATGTGCAGTCTAATGTTTGTGTCTTCTTTGTTTAGATTTACAAGTGGGAAACGCTGCTTTGAATATCAAATCTGTTACGAGTCAGTTTACCACAAAGTGATGCAGAACTAGCCAATCTGTCTGCATGTTTATTTCCCTACACAGCGAAGGGCCAGGGACAACATATTTTAAAAAGTCTATCGAATGTGGAAATCGAAGCTTAATACTCAAGGGTCGAGAAATTGTTACACGCATTCACTAACCTGCAAGCCACGGAGCCGCACAAGTTACTAACTGCAGCCGACTTAATAATACAGCGGACGTGTCCAAAGTCTGAAGCTAACCACACATTATTCCCCCATCTACTTATATCAGTGATAAGTAGATAGAAATCAATTTCCAGTCTACGGACTGCCAGACACACCATTGTCCCGTGTCAATCAATCTGCCACGAATATGAAGTTACAAGTAAACCACACTAGGCCACAACTTCATGCTGGAGTTACGCTCTGCGTCTGTAACTATTTAGTAAATAAACCTACTGGGCGAGGTGGGTCAATAGAGGGACAGAACAGTGGATGATGGTGTTGCCGTGTCTTTCTCAATCACCCCACATACTTAAATTCAGTTGAACTACAAGCTCAGACAAGGAAAACTAAAAACAATGGCAAGTCACCCAACACAAGAACCATATCATTTTCTCATCTCCGGAACGACTTTGTCATGAGCCGCAAACAAGATTATATACTCAGGATATTTTCATAATTACATTTTATAATCTATATAGTGGATGTAACTGAAGCAGCTAGTTTCCCGCCCTTTACAGACAAATTGTAAGTCTGCAATAGTCTTGGCAGTTGGAATATCAGGGCATTCTGCAGTAATGGTGGGTTGGTAATTGTATCTTTGGTTTGAAAGTGACACATTTTTACTTCATCAAATTGGCCGTTTCGATTGTCATAAACACATGGAGTGCAAGTGATTATTAGTAGGCGAGTTCTGCTTGTATTTAAGTATAATGCCAGGTTATTTTCTATATGGTTACCTGCTACTTGTTATCGGTGTCGTCATCCTAGCTCACTGGTCCGGCCCATTCATGCTTCGTCCTCCGATACATCAGCTATCTCAACGTTTCCATGCCCAACGTACCCAATTGGAGTAAGTAAAGGAAAGGAAAGGTCCCTTTTCCACGCCTTTTGGCGTTTAGGGCATATAGGGCTAGACCTATATTTTTATAGACCAATCGGCATAAGATGGATGATATGGTCAGCATCACGCCGGTCGCCTTTACTTCCCGGGACTGCACCCGGTACCCACTCAAGGCTGAGTCGACCTGGGAAGTCAAGGTCATTTTGTGAAAAAAGTCCAGTTTCGCCAAAGAGCGAACCCACGACCTTCCGATCCCCACACGAGCGTCTAGCCGGTAGGCCACGGCGACTCCCACTCAGTTGGAGTTTATTGGCATATCATCTTTTTTTTTTTTTTTTTGCCCGACCAAAGGTTTCTGCATGCTTGTCCTTGTTTAGTACCCATTTCCAACAGGTCATTCATCATCGCTGACTGCTTTGTTGCAGTCTCTAAAGCGTAGCCGGTTTCTTGATACCACTGTCGAAATCAACGCAAGGCGCAAAGCCCGCAGCTGGGATCGAACCCGGGACCCCGTCATTGCAAACAGCGTATGCAACGCCACAGATACCAATTAATCAAGTTATAAACATTTTTTTTTTCTTTCTATAAAATTTTCAAAATGATGGCTGCTTCCCCCCCCCCCCCCCCTCTCTCCTCTCTCTCTCTCTCTCTCCACCCGATGTTTATAAGAAGTTATCTTCGTACTTTCAAAACATCTAGATTACTGAATTTTGCTGTCCAAGGAATATGAAACATTTAAATGCAAAATATCTTTTGTGTCCCAAGAGAATTTGTATCTTGATTACTAAATGTTTAGGATTCACGCCTGTTTGTTCAAACACGTTCAGCGTAAGATGCTTGCATTCTTTAATCTTTCAATGGCAGAAGAAATATATTGCATAAGATGTTATTTTGATTTATAATATGCTGCATTTTCGTCAATGTTTTTTTTTTCAACTAACAAAAAAAAAAAAAAAAAAAAAAACAACAACAAAATAGTTTAATTTTTAACTGAAATGTCCAATCAGTACTGCTATATGGAGCGGAAACACGGAGAACAACTAAGACAGTTACTAACAAACTACAAACATTCATTAACTGGTGCCTGGGCAAAAATAGAGGGAATTAAATGGTATGATTCAATCATCAAGTGTAGCTTCGGGAGAGAACTAAACACATCCTATGGAATAAAGAGGTGAAAAAGACGCTGGTATTGGATAGTTGAGAGATAAGTGAGAACAATGTAACTAAAAGGGCTTTCTACTGGAACCCGCAGGGGCAAAGAATCAGAGACAGAAACCGCCTACTCCAAAAATATGCAAGAAAGAAATGAAACAATGCACATATATTGAGCATCTTTTATCAATTAGGTCGGTGATTCCCAAACTTCGCTGCGGCGCACCGATGAGCCGCGACCGTGTCACAAGGGCGCCTTGAAATATTGGAAAATCACGAGTTTAATTTTTATAACCTCTTACATACGAATAGTCATATTTTTACTTAGGTTGGGCGCCGTGGAAAAATTTAATTGAAAAAAGGCGCCGCGACTAAGAAAAGTTTGGGAAACACTGGTTTAGGTAAATCTTCTGTCTTATAGTATTTCTGGTTAGGGGGTTTAAAAAAAAGGGGGGGGAGGGGGGTGGGGGTGACAGTCTAAGTGGACCCCTAAAAATATTTCTGCATGATCAAGTAACGGGGTAGGGTAGGTAGTTTTCCTCTTCTAGGGCTGTAATATATGGTATTACCAGTCAAAAGATGAGAATAAAAAAGTCGCATCGGCTGAAACTTTTGATTTTGTGGCATCGATGTTAACAAACTGCTTTATTTACATTTGCTCCCCCCCCCCCCCCCCCCCCCCCCACCCCCACAAATCACTGTTTGATTAGCTGTCAGATAGGCTGCAAAACAATGTCATTTGCCTTGGTGGGCAGCTAAATTATGTCCCTTGTCTTAGTGGGCCGCGAAACGATGTCCCTTGTCTTGGTCGGCCGCGAAACGATGTCCCGTGTCTTGGTGGGCCGCAAAACAATGTCCCTTATCTTGGTGGGCCGCGAAACGATGTCTCTTGTCTTATTGGGCCGCGAAACAATAACCCTTGTCTTGGTGGGCCGCAAAACAATGTCCCTTGTCTTGCTGGGCCGCGAAACGATGTCTCTTGTCTTGGTGGGCCACGAAACGATGTCCGTTGTCTTGCTTAGCCGCGAAACGATGTCCCTTTGTTTTGGTGGGCCGCGAAACGATGTCCGTTGTCTTGCTTAGCCGCGAAACGATGTCCCTTGTCTTGGTGGGCCGCGAAACGATGTCCCTTGTTTTGGTGGGCCGCGAAACGATGACCCTTGTCTTAGTGGGCCGCGAAACGATGTCCTTTGTCTTGGTAGGCCGCGAAATAATACTACCTGTTTTTGGTGGGCCGTAAAACAATGTTTTTATGGCGCGCTATGTAAAAAAGGTGAGAAACACTGAACTACAGAGAAGTAAAAGCAGTAGTTACGTACATAACGTTAATAAACTGGTACAGGACGAAAAAAGATACAACAGCATTAAGATATAATATGCAACTTACCGTCCCGACTTCGTTATCACCATTTCAGTCCCAATGCTATGAAATCCTCTTCCATAAATCCATGCCTTCCAACTCTGCCTTTGGGTCGTCTTTCACATCAGCGTCTTGTGCTTCTGGTGGTCCAACTCCCATCCCCACGCCCCTTAGAGCGGAGGCGTACATGTCTCCTGGATGGGGCATAAAGTCAGAGTTTAGCAAAGGCAGGTTGCGCCCAAGCCCTTTTAGTAACACCGATGACATGACGTGGGAGTTGAGATGCAAGGCGGAGAAAAAGGAAGGGTGCTGCTGGGATACGAGAGCAACGGCTGCAGCAGGACTGATGCTGTGTCCATTGGCGTACTCAGCCAGATGAGGTGCTGCGGCAGCGGAGAATAAATAAGGATACGATGCTGCGGCTGCTGCGGCGGCCATTCTGAGTTTGGGGTCGTCGTAGGCTGATAGGAGATACCTTGTGTCAGGAGCCGCTGAAGGTGGTTGTTGTTGCTGCTGCTGATGTTGCGCGGGACGGTCTGATGACATTGTTCCTACCGACCACGCTGGTTGTGATGCCGTCACTGCCCAACGTCAGCGGTCGCCACGCCAGGATGGCGCTGTCAAATATATGAAATGAACAAAACTATAGTTTACTATGTTACATAAAGCAAAACATAACCGCAGACCCGTTAGGGTCACGGAGGTGAATCGATGGAAGGACTAGCTCACAAAACTTACTATCTTTATATGCGCACTGTTTTTTGGACTGACTGACTTTTAAACCCAACCAAGACATCACACTGAACAATAAACACCCAGTGACAGAAAATGTCACCATTCGGATGACGATCACCCGTGGAGAGGTCCCAGAAACCCCGTTTAACAGTTAGGTTATATTAGGGAACAGCAGGGTGGGGCTTCAAAATACTGAAACAAAGGGGACGACTTATGTAACGCACACAAGAATACACAAACACACACACTATAATCACAAACCCTATCTGTGTGAAGTGTGTTGATTATAAAGTCCTCCCAAACCACTGGTTAAACTTTCATTTGCCATTATGACTACAATGTTTAACAGACACATTGGAGGCCCATGCTATTGTGCATTTCTTTATTTATTACGACAATCAGTAAAAGTAAATTTTAGCTTTAGTTATCCCTCTTTAAATATATTTTTTTTACACATTACTTCCCTCGAAAAAGGTAATTTTAAATATTTAATTTTCGCTGTTTTCTTCCTTGAAATCCCATATCAATATGTGTCCAAAACAATAGATTTGTCTAGCACTCAATTTTTTAAATACTGGTGTTGTATTACAGGCAATGCCTCGGGTGCACTTAGGGGCAATGACTAAAGATACGGCAGCGGTGGAGACAAGAATGAAGTAAAAGACAGGATATTAAATGTAGGGTTTTAGTTCGACCCTTTCTTTCCCTATCCTTTGGGCGAAGCTCGGCAATTAGATCTACTATATATATATATATATATATATATATATATATATATATATATATATATATATATATATATATATATATATATATATATATATATATATATATTTTTGATGTGGACTAAACACATCAGTACAATAGTTTCACTCTGTGAATTTTCCCCGTGTGGGTTAAGGTGTCCTAGTGTTTGTGGGGAAAGGGAAATAGGGGTGGACAGAGAGAACAAATTTAGTCTCTTAACAAGCATGTCGTAAAAGCCGGCGAATTGGTAATATTTAATTCGAAATCCGATCGCATCAGAGCGAGAGGCAAGGAACCAACAATTTGCATTTAAATAAGCCAGATCTGTAAAATGGACGTGCATGCAAAACTCAAGTTCTGGGAGAAGACTACAGTCGAGAAATGGGCGAACTACCAGAACCTTACCATAGAGTTTACAACCGGTGAGCACGGAGAAGGAGGAGGAGGAGAAGAAGAAGAAGAAAAAGAAGAAGAAGAAGAAGAAGAAGAAGAAGAAGAAGAAGAAGAAGAAGAAGAAGAGGAAGAAGAAGAAGAAGAAGAAGAAGAAGAAGAAGAAGAAGAAGAAGAAGAAGAAGAAGAAGAAGAAGAAGAAGAAGAAGAAGAAGAAGAAGAAGAAGAAGAAGAAGAAGAAGAAGAAGAAGAAGAAGAAGAAGAAGAAGAAGAAGAAGAAGAGGAAGAGGAAGAAGAGGAAGAAGAAGAAGATGAATAAGAGGAGGAAGAAGAAGAAGAAGAAGAAGAAGAAGAAGAAGAAGAAGAAGAAGAAGAAGAAGAAGAAGAAGAAGAAGAAGAAGAAGAAGAAGAAGAAGAAGAAGAAGAAGAAGAAGAAGAAGAAGAAGAAGAAGAAGAAGAAGAAGAAGAAGAAGAAGAAGAAGAAGAGGAAGAAGAAGACGAAGAAGAAGACGAAGAAGAAGAAGAAGAAGTGGAAGGAGGAGGAGAATCTGTGAATTTATATGAATTGTATATGTATATTCAGAAACGGAGCTAACGACCCCTGAGCAACAAGGTTATCAAGGGAAACACACAAACACACATACGTTTGAGTGTGTATACGTGTGTATGCATGTAAACATTTCAGGCCATACGCTACATAACCAAATGACCCTATATGTTCTGACATGTTTATATCCCTGACGCTTCCCTTCTACAGTCATACACTATACAAACACTGGTCAAGAGGCTGGGAAGTGACATAAGGACTCTCACAACAAATGACCAACGGATTCCGGCTTGACCGAATGGCCAAGTGCTGACCTTTGCTGTCCACTAACTTAGGAACACTGGACTTGTTCGTACGTGTGCATTCAATTACTGGCCTTTTTCTCACCTTGGCCAGAGACGCCTACACTTGACAAAAATAATTCATTATTCGTTAACTTATTTTATCTCGGTAAAGTGAAGTGACGGAAGGAGATATGAAGTAAAGGACAATAAATTGAAGTAAAATAAATTATAGCAAAGTAAAATAAAATAAGGCAAGGTCCTTTGAGAAGCCAATTGCACATAGGACGTATTGCGTGATACGGCCATATATTTACTGACCAGTGGGCACTCAGTGTTTGATGTGGTCAGTACCCCACCCTGACCTAGCTGAACAGACTTCCGAAAAAATTGTATATGTATCATTTTAAGAAGTTGGGTCGACCTGAAATTATAAAATTTCATTTCTAAACGATTACATTTATATGAATTCGATCCCATGAGGTTTACTTCGAACTTATACACTGTACGCAGAGTTCAATTTGGTCCCAACTCATTTACCAAATCTGGCGTTTCGTAACGATTACTTTCCTTTTTCATTTACCGTGAGGGTTGAAGTTTAAAGTCCAAAGGCTTGACTTCACTGCAGCGGGTTTTATCCTATATGGTTCTGTCCCTCTCCGTAGAACGGCTAGCCGACTGACGAGAGCGCTGCTCAGAGCACGAACTTCGTAGCTCTGGCGACGATCCCCAGGAATATCCGTAAAAACTGCAGTAGTGAGCCGAAGGGCACAGACGTGAAGCGAACCCACGACCTTCAGAGCGCGAGGCAAACGGCTTGCCGCTGTCTTAAGCCATTCACCATCGTTTTTTTTCCTTGGTCTGCCTCTGTCTCTTCTACCAGCGATCTTTCCAATCATCACAATATTTTCCATTGCTTCTTTTCTCATCACAAGACACTCAATAAAAAACCTGAATTTGTCTCCTTCTCATTGTTGTATATAATGTTTAATGAAGTTGGTCCTCTCGACGTAAACTCTATTCATTTAAAAAAAAAACATTATCACAAAACGTAACACTTGAATATGAAGTTTTGCTGAACACTGCAATAACCTGAGACTGAATATGTGACACTGTGAAGAAAAACACCTCTGGCTGACAATGAACTGAAATGAAAGTCGACAGGATGAATCATAAAGACAGAACAAGGAAGACGTTTATAGAATCTACAACCGACGTGGTGAGGGGAATGTAACATTAAATCAACGCCATACAATGTCTAGCCTGTGTGGTTTCTGAGGCCAGTTCTAGAGGAGAAACAGAGGTGAGGGCGGAGGGGGGGGGGGGGGGGGGTGGAGTTGCCATGGAAGCACCAAAAGCCCCTCTCTCATCCGACCCATAATCATCTTTTGGACCATAATTCTCTGACAACTAATTCTCAGGGAACTAATTCTTAGGGAACTAATTCTCAGGGAACTAATTCTCAGGGAACTAATTCTCACGGGACTGAGCACCACAAGACATTTAACATTTTAAATAGGTGTAAGAGCACCACCCCCCCCCCCCCCCCCCTCCCCTTCACCGCGAAACACGTACAGACGTTTTGTTTTTTAAATATATATTGATACATTTCATATCATCTCATATATATTAGTGTATTTATTTGTCATTCAGCACAAACTAATAATAAAATAATAATAATAATAGCAACAACAACAAGTAACAGTATCATTAATTCAGCGCTAGTGGATACAAGTAAGCAGATTACTGTGAATTTAAAGCGGAGCAAACCCGTTTAACGTTTGAGTAGAATGAGACGAAAGACCGTTGTTTTGGGACATTTTGCCAGTTATAAAAGGCACCCCTACCCCCCCCCCCCCCCCCCCCCCCCCCCCCACCCCCCCCCCCCCCCCCCCCCCCCCCCCCCCCCCCACCCCCCCACCCCCCCCCCCCCCCCACCCCCCCCCCCGCCCCCCCCCCCCCCCCCCAACCCCACACTTAATTGCCATACTCCAAGATGAAATTATACCTTTACTTCAGTAGCATGTGAAATATATATCTATTGATATAAAATTAGTTGCGTATCCTTTACAGGACGTTGCAGAACCAGCCCCAGGATTTTTGATTTTTTTTTTACTGTTGTTGTTTGTTAAAGCAAATGTTATGTATAGCAGTTTGCCATTGCCGACTGAGCGGTCAGTTTTCGACACCACTGTGGAAACCGAAGCAGGGCGAATCATCGTCTGCAGCTGGGATCGAACGCAGCATCCCGATATATATATATATACATGCACACATGTCCTCGTCTGTGGCCTAGGTGTAAAGAACACGCTTCGTAATGCCGGGATGCCGCGTTGGAATTACGAGTGGGACTCGCAACGCCTAAGCCACGGACGCCGCCTATAAATAAATAAATAAATAAATAAATAAATATATATATATTGAACAAACAAACAAACAGAGATGTAATGTTGATTTTCTGTAAAAATAGCACAAATACAAGACACAGTAGACAACATAACAATTGAAATTTCTTTTTTTTTACCGTGCCGCGAATCGAGCCTGTCACCTCGAAAAGACGAAAGCGCCTCGCTGCAGGCACATGTTTATACCCCTCACTATCTGTTAACTTTCATCTCCTTTTCTGTCTACCTTTGGGTGCATTTAGCTAGGTTTATAGTTTGATTAATTGTTAGCTATTTAAAAAAAATAGTTTAGTATAAAGCAGCATATACAATATTATATAATATATATGTAAT